TATAGAAACATAATCACATACAGAGTGGTGGCTATATAGAAACATAATCACAGCAGAGTGGTGGCTATATAGAAACAATCTCATGCTCTCACAAATCTACTTCCATAGTGATACTGCCTCAACAACCCAAGGAGGGGTCACTATGAGTCGGGGCCGACTTGACGGAACATAACAACAATATAATAATTAATTACTATGTTAATTGGTACATAGGAGCTCTGGTGGCACAGTGCCTAAGGCACCTGACTGCTAACCAGAAGGCTGGTGGTTCAAACCCACCTGCCACTTCTCAGAAGGGAGGTTGGGCAATCTACTTCCATAGTGATACCGCCTCAGAAACCCAAGGAGGGGTTACTATGAGTCGGGTCTGACGAGGGCACATAACAACAACAACAATGTTAATTGGTCAGGTTTTAGATTTTTATCATTAAGTGGATGATGATATCATCACTGAAATAAGGAAGATAAGAAAGGCAGCTTTGTAGAAAATAAGTGAATTCAGTATTTGAGTGTGTTAAATTTGAAGGACCTTGTGAGAAAACACATGAAAATGTAATTTAATGTTGTTAGTATATTATTGATAAATTAAAGCATGGATCTTAATGACATTATTTGCTCAGGATAGAGATTGAATAAACATGGTATAAGGATATAACCTTGAAACACTCCCTTCCTCATTTTAAACCATTTTAAACAGTATCCCATTGTTCTGTTTGAGTGACAGCCTCCTGGTCTATGTACAGGAGCACAATTAAGTGTTCTGGAATTCCCATTCTTCTCAATGTTAACCATAATTTTATGAACCACACAATCAAATGGTTTAGCATAGTCAATAAAACACAAGTAAACATTTTTCTGATATTTTTTGCTTTCAGCCAAGATCCATCTGACATCAGCAATGATATCCCTTATTCCACATCCTCTTCTGAATCCAGCTTGCATTTCTGGAAGTTCTTTGTCAATATTACTGCTGCAATCATTTTTGCATTATCATCAGCAGAATTTTACTTGCATGTGATATCAATGATACTGTTTGATAATTTCCACATTGTGTAGGATTATCTGTGTTTGGAATGGGTACAAATTGAATCTCTCCCAGTCAGTTGATCAGATAGCTATCTGCCAAATTTTGGGGCTTAGACAAATGAGTGTCTCAAGAGTGGCATCCATTTGTTGAAACATCTCAATGGGTATTCTGTCAGTTTACAAATTCTTGTTCTTTGCCATTTCCTTTAGTGCAACTTTGACTTCCTCCTTCAATACTATTGGTTCTTCATCATATGCCACTTCCTGAAATGGATGAACATCAACCAAATATTTTTGGTATCATGACTCTGTGTATTCTTTCCATTTTCTTTTAATGTTTCTTGCATCATTCAATATTTTTCCCATACAATCTTTCAATATTGCAACTTGAGGCTTGATTTTTTTTTTCTTTGGTTTCTTTCAGCTTAAGAAATGCCAAGTGTGTCCTTCCCTTTTGGTTCTCAAACTCCAGGTCTTTGCACAATTCATTATAATAATTGACTTTGTCTTCTCAAGCTGCTCTTTGAAATCATCTGTTCAACTCTTTTGTTATTTCTTCCATTTGCTCTATCTACTCTTCATTCAAGAGCAAGTTTCAGAGTCTCTTCTGACTTCCATTTGGTCTTTTCTTCCTTTCTTGTCTTTTTAATGACCTTTTGCTTTCTTCATGGATGATTTTCTTGATGTCATCTCACAGTTCCTCTGTTTTTTGGCCATTGGTGTTCAACACATCAAGTCTATTCTTTAGATGGTGTCTAAATTCAGGAGGATATAATAAAGGTCATATTTTGGCTCTTCTGGACCTGTTTTAATTGTCTTCAGCTTCAACTTGAACTTGCATATGAACAGTTGATAGTCTGTTCTACAGTCAGCTCCTGGCCTTGTTTTGGCTGAAGATAATGAGCTTCTCCATGGTCTCTTTCCACAGATGCAGTCGAGCTGATTCGTATATATTCCATCTGGCAAAGTCCACATGTATGTCACTGTTTATGTTGCTGAAAAAGGTATTTGCAATGAATAAGTCATTGGTCCTGCAAAATTCTATCATGCAATCTCTAGCATCATTTCTATCACCAAGGCCATATTTTTTAACTACCGGTGAGTCTTCTTTTTTTTCCAACTTTTGCATTCCAATCACCAGTGATAATCAACACATCTTGATTGCATGTTTGGTCAATTTCAGACTGCAGAAGTTAGTAAAATTTTTAAATTTGCTCAACTTTGGCTTTGGTTGTTGCAAAAATTCGAATAATAGTAATATTAATTGGTCTTCCTTGTAGACATATGGATATTATCACTGACAGCCTTGTACTTCAGGATAGATCTTGGAGCATTCTTTGTGATGATGAATGTCACACCATTCCTCTTCAATTTGTCATTCCCAGCATAGTAGGGTCCTGGC